TAAATAAATAAATAAATAAATAAACAAATAAATAAGACAGTCCCAATATCCCTAGTTTTGTGGTGATGTTTTATTTCTCTGTTTATTTTAAATATCCTAATTGGAGGTGAGCAGGGCAAGACACTCAGGTGCCTCAGGTGCAGGGCTTGGGTGGGCGCGGGAACTCCTGCCACCAAAGGGCAAGAAGATCACAAGGTGGCAAACAGGAGGCTGGCACCAACCAGACTGGGACCTGAGCAGGAACTCTGGCTCCTACCCCAGGGCGAGGCTACAAGGGGGCAGGGCCATCAAGTGTCGTGATTTGGTACCCACGTCAGATGCATCAGAGTTGCTTGATAAAGCATATATTCTCTAGTAGAATGCCCTCCTACACAATAAAAACCCAAGCTAAAATAGCCCCATAACACTCCAGCAAATATCGAACTACCTGATGTTATGGATGGCTTTTGTCTTGTCCAGACACAGAAGTCTCCACAGTAACATATTGTTAAAAAATTCCAAAATGAACAAATTGCCTCTGAATATCTCCAGAGTAGCCTAACCTTCTACATTTTCAAGGTATAATGTCATTCCTGGCACAGAGAAAATACTCAATAAATTTCATCGAATAAATGGATGAGTAAATGGATGGAGGGAAAAAGCTAGATTTTAAATCAGACCAGGGATTAAATCAGTCATTAGGGAAGGCACTTGAGCCTCAGTTTCATTAAGGGGAATAATCATTTTTATAGAGTTGATCTGTGAGTAAAATAAAATCATATTTTTAAACACTACAGTTCTTTCTGGCACAAGTTGTTTCAGGCTGACTTTTACTTTTTTTCTTCAGGACGTTAGCTTTGAAATCAACCATTTCTCCAATGAGTCCTAGTTCAACATAATGGAGAATGGAATTTAGAAGACAAGATGGCTTGCTAGGTTTGCAATTTTTCAATTGAAAATTGGGGAACAAAATTCTATCAGGTGTATAAAGGAGTTTTCATAGCAGATGCCACAGAATGAACAATAAATGGTAATGATTCTTATTAATTACTATTATTTGCAATATACACCTCATCATGTCTACAGAATATAATAATTTCTTATTCACAGAAAAAAAATTTTAAAACAAAAATTATTCGAAGTGTTCAATGTATTCTGTGTGATTTATGCAAAGATTTGAAGTATTAGTGGTGAAGTAATTGATTAAAGATTTTAAAGCTGTAGGTTTTGTTTGCATGTATCACATTGTATATACAAATCAGCTCTTCTTTTGCATTAGAAACAACATATATTCTGGAGATACTTATAATAGGTTAGAAGAGATAATTGAAATGTTTAAAATACCATTAGCTTAGAAAGGAGAATATATTTTTCAAAGTTGATAACTCTGCCAAGTATTTAGTCTTCATTAAATATATTGAAAACTTGACACAATGCATTATAACATACATATATATACGTACATGTTATATACACACTTCACCCCTTGGCCCTATAATAAATCATAAATAAAGTTGTGAAAATAAAAATTATTGAAGCTAAAAGTAAAATATTCTTATTCTGCCTTAGAGAATAAATAATAAGTTAATAACAATTTTTCATTGTAAACATTCATTTGAATTACCTTTTTTGGTTTGTTTTTTCACATATAAGTATCAGGGAATTTATATTTTCAAATATAAATATTCTTAATTTAAACTTTAATGTATTCTTTAATTTCCACTTTCGCAGTTGTCTGAATAGCTTGTAAAAAATAATAATTCTTCTGCTAAAAACAACTATAAAGTCCCTAGGGGAAAAAGGTGTTTGAAGTCTTTGGAGTGCAACTAAGACAACCAAGCCTTTCTGAGCCAATCTACCAGAGAGAAGAGAAAATGAAGAGAGATGTGTTGAGGAAGTCCTGCTTGTGAAGCTTTTCCTCCTGGGCCAGGCACACATCCTCAGCATTGGGCATAACAGCCAAGCGTAAAACCTTAGCTCAGTGTTCGTAGCCATCTCTCTTGGCTACAGGAGCCTCAGTAGCAGCTCTGGATTGCATGGCATCTGGGATGGAGAGGCCAAGATCCAGGAGAAGAGGGAACCTGAGAGACGTGAACCTGAAGCTTTGTGTGCCCCTTTCCTTTGAGGATTTCACCAATTCCTGAGATGTGCATACACATGGCAAGAAGAATAAAAACTCACAGCAGTGGCTAAGATGCTAAAAAGCTCAACAGAATTTTTAGGAATTTCACAATTCTAAAAAGACAAAATGTGTGTATATATATATACACATTTACTGTTGGAAGCCACTATTTTCAATTAGAAATTTCCTTTATCACAAAATTTAATTTTATGTAGAATTTTATTTAAAACAATTATTTTTATTATTGTATTTGATTTTTATGTAGGCTTGAACATTTTTTAGGAATTTCACAATTCTAAAAAGACAAAATGTATATGTATAATATATCAGATATATACATACCAAGGAGGATGACTTCAGGAAAGTATCCCAGGTTTGGGTCAAAGGCAAACTAGAAATGATTAGCTTTCAGAAAGCTTGAATTCTACTCTTGAAACATGACAATCCTTGACAGAATCAAGATGCTTGAATGTTCTCTAACTGCTAGCCATAGAGAAACCAGATCCTCCCTGAAGAAAATAAAATGCCAATAATTTAGATCTTTTCATAAGTAATATATAGCATTCATTTAGCAATTACCAGGCATACAAGGACCCGAAAACTGAAAATCAAAAGAAACAAACAACAGGTAGAGATCCACACATTATCCAGCTAATGGAGTAGTTAGACAAGATAGGTCATTGGAAATATGACTAATATTACAGAAACTTCCAGAGGATACCTTCTCCATTATTTTAATGAGCTGAACATATCCTTTATTTAAAAAAAAGATTTATCTTACAAGAAAAGTCTAGACCGATCTCATTTCTGAGCATTAAGCAAAAATATTTTAAAAATATTAGCAACTCTAATTGTGGGTATAAATTGGTACGACTTCTTTAGAAAACTGTTTCACATTACAAATTATAGTGAATCTCTGAGTAAATTACTATGCAACAATTCAACTCCTATTTACATATTGAACAGAAACGCATTGGGGGTTTGTATCAAAATACCTGTACAAGAATGCTCTCAGTAGCATTATTCATAGTAAGCAATAGTCAAAGGTTGGAGATAACCCAGCAGTAGAGTATATTTTTTGTTTCTAACTTTTCCCTACTTATGTATACAATAAAGCTAACTATTTCCTTTGAAAATGGGATTTTGCAGTGCCCCCTAGTAGCTTAAATCCTGTATCTGTTTCTTCTCCATTGACTTTCAACATGGCCAAATGATTTGCTTTACTAATATCATATTAGCATATGATAGTATACCATATCCAAGCTGAGGCTTATAAGAGGCAACGCTGGTAACTTCCAGTCCACCTCAACTCTTATCTTCCATGATAAAAACAAACACAAACACAAAACCAAACAAACAGAAACACTGATCCCTAGATATCAGGTGTTCCTTCAGCCTTGGTCCCATAGAGCAGACCTAAACTGAGTCCTGGGTCCAGTTTAATCCATGGGAGCCCAAAATGAGATTGCCCAAATCTCAACCAACCTGTAAATAAACCCATAAGTGTAACCTAGACGTTTACTGTTGGAAGCCACTATTTTCAATTAGAAATTTCCTTTATCACAAAATTTAATTTTATGTAGAATTTTATTTAAAACAATTATTTCTATTATTGTATTTGATTTTTATGTTGGCTTGAACACTTTTTCTCAATATGCTATTATATAACTCTTCTTAATGTCTTCTTGAATAATATATTTTGATAGTTATACAATTAATTAATTTGTATTTTTTAGTATCTTTTGTGATAGAACTTTAATTTTTTTGTGTGCCAAATTAATACCTGATGCCTCTACATTACTTCAGTGTCACTTTCTGCTGGTTTATGTGTACTTGTACAGCATAATCTTTGCACAACATGAAACCACTGGGTTTCAAGTGAGGATGAGACCTTGTCTAATTTAGGAATTTATTTTATTTACAATAAACAGGGTTGAGGTGTTCTGATTTTGATTATATTTTGAAGGATTATCTTAAACAGAATTTGCCAATAGATTGGTTGTGGGGTAGGAAGAAGAAAGGAATAATTGATGACTCCAAGGTGTTTGGCTTGAACCTAACATACATATAACAGAATATGATACATCCTTTGAAATTCTTGTTAATAAAGAATTTTCAATGACTTTTGGGTGTAAAATCAGTATCATTTTAAAACAAAACATACGGTATAAAATTGATGTATGATATGACCGTCACCAGGTATTGTTTTGTAATAAAATGAGGTCTAAAATGTAAATTAAAAATGTTAACAAGAGCAAACTTTGGAATATGATATTGGGAATGAATTGTCGTAGTTATTTTTCATTAATTAATTGCTATTTTTAAAATACTGTATACCTATCCAGTATATTAGACAGACATGTCACATGTATATTTTATTGTAAAAAGTATGTTTGTCTCATTATTCTTCGCTATCCATTCAAAGAGATGTTTTAATACTATCAAAGAAAATAGAAAACTATCTCCGCATTTTTTTGAAAGAAAAACTTTTTGAATATCAGTGACATTAAATGCAACCTCTGGGGAAAAAAAGCAAAACACACCTTTTTTTTCATTAAGTGCAGAAAAAATGACAAGTGCAGCTTAAACTACTTTGTGGCTATAAGCCCTGAACTCATGTGTAGTGAACTTGACAGAATCAGAGCTTTCTTTTATATTTTGAAATGAAGTGTTGAGGTATGGAAAAATGCCTTCTGATACAAAGTGTAGGATAAGAAAATGAACCCAGAATATCTAAAGCCATCTTATGCCTATTCATCTGTACCACTGACTTACATGAAATAAATCCATTTAGAATACACATTAAATATACTATTTTTTTCACTTACAAGTTCTTAGCTTATTAATTCTCTCATGACAAACGTGCACAATCACCATAGATGAAGTCACTGCAGAATCTTTATTCCTTTGTCCATTCTCCAGCTAACTTGTTGCCAGCACCAACATTGGCTTTTGCAGTCCCCCTGACTTTCTTCATGCTGTTCCTGCTTTCCTTTCGCTCTCCTCTTGAGGTCTTTTTCTTCTCACACAGGCCGTGTCTTGCAAATCTATGTCGGGGTTCATTTTTCTTTGCATCATCAAAAGAATCATAAATCATGCCAAAACCAGTTTTCTTGCCACCACCAAAATGAGTTCTGAATCCAAATAAAAGATGACATCTGGTGTGTTCTTGTGCATTTTGGCTAGTTTTCCCTGAATTTCTGTCTTGGGTAGTCACCTTCCCAGGGTGAAGGGCATCAATGACTATTGCTCCCGCTGAAATAGTCTGTTGGTCATGAACTTCCCAGTCCAGATAGTCACTGTCCAGATAGTTCATGATGGCGGCCAAGCTTCAAGCAGCCAGGGAGGAAAAATGCTAAATATACTACTTGAAGTGTGAAATTATTTTGTAATAGCACATATTTGTTTATAAAATCAGAAGCCCAAGGTTAAAAAATGATGAGAATGAAAAAGGAAATGCTGATCCATGCAATTATAAGAAAGGGACATTCAAGCCAGTAAGGACATGAACACCAATAGCAGCAATGATAATATGACCTAACCTGTATTAAGTACTTACTGTATGCAACTCATTGCCCTGATTTTCCACATTTCTATCTAATATTTAAACTTAAGAAATTGGTACTATCAGTGTTTAGTTTTTAAATATTAATTTTTTACTGTTTTTTCTTCCTTTTATTTCTATTTCTGAAATATTTTTGTAATATTTATTATAGGACAATATAGGATGGAACAGTATAGAAATACAGACAACCGTGGTGTTTGTGCTCACAATTATTCATGATGGTTCTGTGATCAGAAGAAAAAAAATGTTTGAAGGTCACTGTCACAGGCAATGGGAGATATTAAAATTCTTTTTTTTTTTTTTAAGATTTTATTTATTTGCGAGAGAGAGAATGAGAGACAGAGAGCATGAGAGGGAGGAGGGTCAGAGGGAGAAGCAGACTCCCCGCCGAGCAGGGAGCCCGATGCGGGACTCGATCCAGGGACTCCAGGATCATGACCTGAGCCGAAGGCAGTCACTTAACCAACGGAGCCACCCAGGCGCCCGGGAGATATTAAAATTCTTAAGCAAGATAATAATTTGTATTTTAGAATTTTCTAATTACACAGTCTTTCCTATGCTGTCATTTTTGTTCACCACAACGTTTCTTTTATAAAAGAAAGATCTATCAATCCAAAATATCTTCTGGCTTAATAGTAAGATGTAGTTCCGTGAGTTTAATTTCTACATGTGTATTAATAGTATAAATATACTTACCTTCTCAAAATTATTTTTTTTTTGCAATTTGAAGAAGTGCTAAAGTCAATTTGTTTGATATTTATTTTAATGGTTTTCATGGATGAAACAGCTCACAAAATGTGTAGTTTCAAATGGCAGATTTAACGGTAGGCTTTAGCACAAGTTCAGTTAAAGGGAGATAAAATAATACATAAAACAATTTAATCCATCATATCTAAACCACAATACATCCCAACATACTGAAAGGAAATGGATATGGGAAGGCAATCTCTTCTCTGAGGTTATATTATACACTATCCTGTGATATATCGGCCAAATGAAAGATACTTTATCTACCTGCACATGGAACATAATAATAAAGCATCTTTCTCACTCTCTCCCTCTTTCTGTCTCTCCCTCCTTCCATCTCTGTTTCTCTCCTTCGTTCTCTCTCTCTCTCTCTCTCTCTCACATACACACACACATAAACACACTTTCTCTCTCTCCTCTCAAAAACTAAATAGAATTTTAGTATTGTCTTCTTATCTCATTTATCACTGTATCATCTTGGGCAATGCACCAGGTATGCACATTTCACTTTGGAAAATGAAGCTTAAAGTTTATTGGGCATAAGATGAAGGGGTTTGTTAAAGTTTAACAAGCCCCTCTGGTGGCTTTGCTAGAGTCTATAGACTACAGAACGTCACGTTCTGAGATTAAAGCCATCCCCTCGAGTTCAATGCCATCTGTCAACAAGTTACCATTTCTGGCCTCATTTCCAGGCTTTCCCTTTTGTAACCTATTATCTGTAGTTCACTCACAGCCATTCTTTCTCACATCTGCCTTTGAACTTGATGTTCCCTTTACTGGAATATTCTTTTTATTTTTTTAAGATTTATTTATTTATTTGAGGGAGAAAAAGAGAGAGTGTGCGCATGCACACTCGTGAGCAGGGGGGAGGACCAGAGGGAGAGGGAGAGAGAATCCTCAAGTAGACTCCCTGCTGAGGATGGAGCCTGAAGCAGGACTCCATCCTAGGACCCTGAGATCATCACCTGAGCCGAAATCAAGAGCCAGACGCCAGTCAGTTGACTGAGTCGCCCAGGTTCCCCCAGAATATTCTTACTTTACCTATCTAGTGAACCCACTCAGTCTTCAATACCAACTCAAATGTCACCTGCTTTGGGCGCCTGGGTGGCTCAGTTGGTTAAGCGACTGCCTTCGGCTCAGGTCATGATCCTGGAGTCCCGGGATCGAGTCCCGCATCGGGCTCCCTGCTCGGCGGGGAGTCTGCTTCTCCCTCTGACCCTCCATCTCATGCTCTCTCTCTCTGTTTCATTCTCTCTCTCAAATAAATAAATAAAATCTTAAAAAAAAATGTCACCTGCTTTATGAAGATGAATGGTGATTCTTTGCATTCAAACAAAACTTTCTTTATAGTGCTCTATAATTTCAAATGCTTATCCTTCTAGGCTAAGTTATTTATATCCTCACATAAACACAAGATGTTCAGTAGATGCTGTCATGTTCACAAGAAACACTTAAATTATCAAAAACCATATTATGACAATAATCATGGCTCAATGTAGAAAAGTAGATGAGGAAGTACATAATACCAGACTCCCAGGTTATTTTCCCTATCTATATTAAAGGTTTGCTTTTTCTTTTTTCTTTCGCTGTTGGGCTTAAAGTGGACAGTTTACCCAGCAACACCAAGCCAATCCAGAATTTGATCCTATCTAGATTTACCCAAGAGTACTGTCCTGTCTATTCTTATCACAACCATTAGCGGCACACAACTTCTTATTAGCCTTATCACCCATTGTTATGATAAACGAAGCACTAAACCATTCAACCAAATCTGCTGTCTTTAGAGGGTAATAGCTTCTTTATCTACTTGCTGCAAGAATCCTGACTTTTGTTACTTAAACACTGAAAATCTATTGTTAACTACTGTCAAACTAGGCAAGTGCAAAGGTGTTCCTTAATTAATTTTTTTGAACTTCCAAATTCTCTCAAGAAAACTCATTTTGTAGAAGAAATGCCAATATTACAAATACTTAATACGATACTTTTGGACGCAGAATATTAAAACCTTTCTCGAACATTCGAAGTGTCTATATGTTGCTCTTGTCCTGAGCAGAGTGTAATGCATAAACTTTTGAATCACTATGTTGTCCACCTGAAACTAATGTAACATTTTGTCCAATATACTCAAATAAGAAGAAAGAAAGAAGGAAAGAAGAAAGAAAGAAGAAAAGAAAGAAAGAAAGAAAGAAAGAAAGAAAGAAAGAAAGAAAGAAAGAAAGAAAGAAAGAAAGAAAGAAAGAAAGAAAACAGGAGGGAGGGAGGAAGCAAAGGAGGGAGGAAGGAAGGAACAAATGAATTAACAAAGGAACACATAATGTTATTACAGGAAATTGTGAAACTGAAATTAAGACTTCTATTTGTTGTATCCATAACTGGATATGCACTTACATATGTTCATTTTAATATGTTCATTTATAATCTAACTTGTTCCAAACTAGTTTCTTGAACTGGTAATGTACGTACTTTTTAAACATATTTTAATTTTAAATATAGAAGTACCATTTTTAAGACCACAATGACAATATATAAGATAATATTCAAAGAAAGAAAATTTTATCTTTTTCTCACATATCAAAAGTATAGAACTAAAATTATAAGGCACAGCATAAAGATGTAAGATATTTAGGTGATTGCTTTACCCTTCTAATAGTATATTTCATGATTTTCATTTGAATTGATAAAGATTTTAGTAAGAATAAATGTGTTATGATCTAGAATAAGTGCTAATAAATTACAAAGCACTCTATGATATCCATGATAACTCACATTCTAAATATCAACATATTTTATTTTCTGTCCATATAAAGGTTATAATGTCAGGGTAATGAAATGGTGACAAAATGTAGTTGCAGAACTAGGTAATCTCCAGTTTTGGAAAACAAGCATATATACCTGTGAAAGTGTAGAACACATGTTTACACCTTTTATAGAGATAAAAATAGTGAAGCAATAGTTTTACACAGATAAAGCCTATTTCTCAGTGGTTAATGATGGAAAGTGGGAAAAAGTGGTTCAGTCAATGAAAAAAGAAGGATTTTTGAATAAATATCTGTTTTTTTAATCTCTAAAAATCTGGGGTGAGTTTTTTAACAATATTTAAAGAATTTAAAACAGAGCCTGGCACATAGTCGTTCTGAAATAAAAATGTGCTTTCCCTCTTCCTTTCCAATGTTTCTGGGAGGAATAGTTATGCAGGAACCAGCTAATTTTAAATAATACATACCATAATACACAGCTACTGTGCACTATATATTTTCAAGTATATTGGATCTCCTGGACATAAACACTTTATATATATTTTTTAAGATTTTTATTTATTTATTTGAGAGAGAGAGTGAGAGAGAAAGAGCACAAGAGGGGGGAGCGGGAGAGGGAGAAGCAGAGTCCCTGCTGAGCAGGTAGCCTGATGCGGGACTCGTTCCCGGGACTCCAGGATCATGACCTGAGCCGAAGGCAGTCGCTTAACCAACTGAGCCACCCAGGCACCCAACACTTTATATTTTAAATTAATGTCTAATAACATTTACCAGAAGCCACATTAATTTTTTAAATATTATGAATGTGATACTTAAAATATGTTATCTAATACACTTGGAAATTATCAGTCCTCTAATTTACCTAATTATGTGAATGATAAATATGAACTTAGTGGGCTGTCTGTGTTCCAGACTTCTTGTATTAGAGAGGAGGTCTAAATAACCCTGAAAATTTGGGGAGACCTCCCCCAAAGAACTAAAGAAAAGAAGGTAATTGAAATTTATTGAATGCATACTCTCCTATTATTGTTATTATTTAATTGAATACATGAGTGACAAAAGTCACTGTCTTTTAATACAGTGACTCTACAATTTTATTACAGCTGGTCATTTGCAAGAGCTAACCCAAGGATGAAATAGGCAGGGGCAAAATTCCCCCTGATGTAAGACAAATATTCAAAATAGATTCAAGTTATCTCAATGATTTCAGGTGACCCTTGAGAATGTCAATTTTATATCCTCTTGAAT